AGTACGACAGTGGGTGGGAGAGCCAGTATAGTGGGAAGAATGACTGTATTCTCAAAGTTGTACTTATGAAATACATGAAGTTTGTATTACTTAAAAGGGTTTTTGGGGGAATAAAGTTAGAGGGAACAATATCTCTAAATATTTTCATGTGAAAATTATATAGTCTGTATAAGCCTACTTTGCAATCCTTTTATATTTATTTTATAGTAAGTGCTACAATATAAAAATGAATGTATTTTCCTCATTTTAAATTAATTTATAATAGCTTTTATTTTTAAGTATTTTTAAAGAAATTTTTAAAGTATTTTTAAAGTATTTTAAAGATTTTATTTTTAAGTATTTTTGAAGTATTTTGTAAAGAATTTTTTACAGTAAGTAAACTTACTGTTCACTTCTTTATACATTTGAGGTTGCTGTGAAGTCAACTAGTATGTTAAATTACTTAGAATTGAAAGAAAATATTATTAAGAGATTAATGATTTTCTTTACAAAGGGAATTTAAACATATACTGATTCATAAAATTACTGTATTTCTTTTATGACAGATAATAATTTTGTTTGATCTTAAGCGATAAAATACATGTAGGTACACCTGTATTTGTTTACATTTGTGTAATGCTTCATAGTTATTCAAAGCATTTTCACTTACATTTTCTTCTGCATTTATTATCTACTCTGATTCTTGCAACAACAACCCTGTGAGGTGGCTAGGGAAAGTTTTGTTTGCATTTCACATGAGCAGGAAAGGAGGCTAAATTTATGTAACGTACTTAAGGTGAAACACTGAATAAGCTTTTATGACACTTATTTCAAATAGTGATGTTTTTGAATTACATTATGCTTCTTCCTACTGTATTATGATGATGGTTGAAATGCATTTGTTAGCTAAATTTATAATTCTTTTAATGTGACTGGGTATCCTGAACCCTCCATCAATGACCAGTTCACAGGGGCAAACATTTTCCTACATTTCTCACATGATCAGATTACCTTTGTCCAAAGTGAATAATCTACATTTGATATGGAAAACATGATTAGAAAACATCAACTCACCCAAGAGCCGGCTTTCACAACTCTCCAAGTTAACAGGAACTTCCAGAAAAGTCCCATCCTCCAAAATAGTCCTAGTGATGCACGTTACCAAGCAAATACTGAATATATTCAATCTGTTTCTTCACTGTGATGAAGAATGTTGTCTAGATTACTTCCACCTAAAGGCTTGTCAGGTCTATGGCAGAATGCTGCATCTGATTTTAGCCTTAGGAAACAAAGACCAAAACTCAAAAGCTCAACTTTTTGACTTATGTGAGTAATTCAGTGAGATTTTTTCTGCCTCTGAGTTTATTGGTCAGGAAATCCAGATAGGATAAGGCATCAGTCCTTCAAGAGGGACAGGATCTGGGGTGTTGCTCATGAGACCATGTCCCTGGAAGGATTTGGGGCAGGTTGTGACATCTCTGGAGCTTCATTGTCTTAACCCTAATGAAATTCCTCCATGAGGGTGAGCCAAATAATCTAAAGCCTGGAGCAGAGGGGACAGAAATTTCCCATTTCTCTCTAGTATTGTTTCCAGGATGTAAAGCCACAGCTCTGCATTGTGAATTTGGCCCACTGCCATGTCACAGTGTTGGCTATGGACCTTCTCAGAGTCAGAGTCACTAGGCTGGGGAGCAGTAAGTGAGTAATGGGCTGACTCCAACTCTGTGGGATTTTGCTCCTTGGGAAGGAAGAAGATTGGAAAGTCCACCACACAAAGGGAAGAACAGAACTGCATCATGGAGCACGACTCTCCTTAATTCCAGGTCAACATATCACAGCTATAACATTCTCAACAAAGTGTGTGCTTTCTTGTGCTCTCTGGAAGCACAATCACACCTTCCTCTTGGTTCTCCATTCGGCTGATTAATTCCAATCTTTACTCCTTCATTATGAATTTAGCAGTGCAAGCATTCCAATTTTTATTGGTCTGTAGGAATATAAATAAAACCTCCTGATTAAAATAGTCAGTTTCAGATTTTTAGTGGACCCAATGTCTTTGCTTTTTAAGTACCTTACTCCTTCAGGGATACATAGGGCTTTGACAGTTCCCTGGGGACTTTCTAAGCTCATGTTGAGGAAATACAATCTATGTGTGTGTGAACACATTACTGATATCTGTGCTCTTCATCTCAAAGTGACTGTTGGTTTTGTCAGTTCCATATGTGGTGAGTGCCTCAGCAAAAATCATAGAAAGAAGAATAACCACCCTAGGATTGTCGCTGGGCCAGAAGTACTGAAGCAACTTTCAGTTAAACTCTGGATCCCATCTGGTCTACAAAGCATCTCAGCAATCTGAGTAGACTTGGGCTGGCTGTCTGGTCTTGAGTCTTCATCTCGATAGCATCGCATAGCCTGAAAACATCTGTCCAAGCGTCCAACCATCTGCTTCAACTGTTGAGGACTCTGAATGGGAGATCGAAGCTTCCCAGATTCCCTGGGTGGCCCTAAAAACTCTCTTCAGCTCTCTGGAGTTCTCTTGAGCCACGTTGGGGTTTCCAACAGAGATGTCTGTGCATTTTCATGACCATGCTGGACCTCAGTCACAAGTTAATACTGCATTTGGAAACTGTACAGCTACAAATGAAGAGCTTCTGTTTTCTGCACAAAGTCCTTAATTTCACAAGGCAGTTCCTGGTAGCAGTTCAAAAGCTCAGCTATTTTAACTTAGATTGAAATCACATCTGTTGGTGTTTTTTTGGATTCTCTTGTCCTGAAGGTCAAGAAATGACTGTTGATGACACTTGTACCACAGATTCCACAGGGACTTCATATAAAACCTTCACAGAAGTCTCTGACTTATCCCGAAGAATGGCAACTTGTACAAACCCATGGAAATCTCTTAGGACCAGAAAGATGTTTTGCTTCGATACTGAATGCATTCGTACAGAGGACTTCTTGGCCCAAGTGAGAACACAATTCTCTGCACGTAGCTGGTTCAGACTGCAAAGCTCCTGAATCCTTTTAGCAGCCTTTTTTAAAAAACTCAAGAGAAAAAACCTACACATATAGGCCATCCAGTTAAGACTGAGGAAAAAGTTGAATAAAAGCACTCCTGCTTTAGGCAACAGACAGAAGGGCTGGGCAGAGACATGTCTGTGCTGTTTTCACCTAGAATTAGCCCCTGTGAACTGAGCACCAGACTTCTGGATGGAGAACCCCAGATTGGCTGAGTGGTACTTCCATTGGGTCTGGATAAACCTGTGTATAGCTGAGGTGAGTAACCAAGAAAGGAAGTACATGTTGGAGCTACAGAATGGTGAGAGATAACCACAAATCCCACGCTTTCAGTGTTGGCCAGTGGTCAGAAGTCAGCTTTGGAAGTATACAGTATTGGCAAAATTTTAGGAGTTCCCACTCTCTTCTCCAGTGTTTAAGCCCCATCTTCACAACATTTGATGACACATCTAGAAACCAGATAAATTTTCAAGGGCTTTCGGGTCCCTGGGAGTGTGCATAGGGGAAAGATCTTTTCCCCATCTCGGTGAATCAGTTTCCATTTCTATTCAACAATGATGCATCCAGAGGTGACAAGAGAATGAATTCACACAGAAGTGCTAGGCACGAGCCAGACACAATTTAGGGGCACATGTCCTTTTCTTCTTTCTATATATTCCTAAAGGCTCCCAGGTCAGAACCAGAAACAAGAAGTAGTCTCATCTTTCAGATCTGAGCAGGTCTTTTGGAAGTAGAAGGCTAGCAAATCTAAAACTCTCCTAGAGCCTGAGTCTACACTCTGATGGCTACTGTAAGCCAAGCCCCCTTGCATTTGTATTTTCCAGCAGTCTATGGCTCAGTCATTAGTGACACATTTTGGCTTCATATTTTTTAATTTATCTCATCTCTAGTCCATTTAAGGCTTTTGGTTTTAAGTTTTGTATTTCCATATGTATTCTTTTTTTAAGTTTATTTATTTATTTGGAAGATAGAGTTACAAAGAATCCAGTGAGAGACAGAGAGAAAGAGGTCTTTCATCTACTGGTTCACTTTCCAAATGGCCACAATGGCCAGGATGGGCCAGGCCAAAGTCAGGAGTCTGGAACTCCATCTGAGTCTCCCATGTGGGTGGCAGAGGCCCAAGTACTTGGGTCATCTTTCCTGTTTTCTCAGCCATGTTAGCAGGGAGCTGGGTTGGAAGTGAAGCAGCTGGGACTCAAACCAGCACTCATAGGATGCTGGCATTGCAGATGGTGCCACAATGCTGACCCCCGTATGTAATCTTCTATATAAGTAGCTTGTAGACTAGAAGGGAACACCTGATGCCCAAACAATTTTCTGTTCATGCTAGCAAGATGTGAATCAAAAAAGGAAAACTATAATTTGAGGAGCCAGTGCTGCTTAAGCTGTGCTTTGCCATAGTGCACGAGATGAAATGGAATGGAGTGCAGGTGAGAGATAGAAGATAAAGATCTTTTTACTTCTTTTTGAATTGGACTTTCTTAAGGTAAATTTATTATTCCAATGTAATGAAACAAAACTATCATGACAGGTGGGCATTTCGTCTAGTGTTTAAGATGCTGATTATGATAGACCTCTGGAACCCAGCTCCAGCTCCTGACTCCAGTTTCCTGCTAATTCAGACCATGGCAGGCAGTTGTGATGGCCTCACATAGTTGTGTTTCTGCTGCTCATGTAGAACTGGATTGAGTTCTGACTCCTGGTTTACACACGACTGGGGATTGTTGCAAGCGTTTGGGGGATGAACCTGCTGAAGAGAGCTTTCTCTTTGTCTCTATCTCTCTCTTTCTGTCAAATAAATAAAAATATACACACAAAGGATAATGTATTTAGAACAAAATATAAATTAATTTGGATGATTTCTCATTGTTTATTATCTGACTTCTAAACAAATTGTTTAGTACAGATGACGAATATCAATGTGTTTATTTCAGCTGAGGTATGAAACTAAAGCAAACAACTATATTATCAATGACGTAAAAACTGATTTTTTTCCCACCCTGTAGAATACTGTATGGAATTCCTGTTATGGGTGAGAATCAAGAATATGCTAGTATTCCTTCGACAGCACCAGGGATATTCCCTGAATTGCCACAGACAGCTGGAGAGCATGCTCAGAAACCTTATCTGCAAGTGTTGGGAGAAGAAGTAAGATTTTTTTAAACTGAAATATAGTTTATTTTTTAAAAAATTTAGTTTTTAACAGATTCAACATAGTTTATGTATACAGTTATAATATAATGATATTTCCTTCCCCCCTACTCCCATTTCCCGTCTCCCTCTAACACTTCCCTCCTCTACATTTTTTAAAAAATTTTTAAGATAAAATATTTTAAATTTACCTTACAGTAAAAAGACTTAATGCTTCATTGGATAAAAGGTTTAACAAATAAAAAGCAAAAGACTCTAGTTTAGTAAGAATATAGACAATGGCTATAAATAGTAATTGAATGGAAAAATGACCACTTCACCCATATACAGTAAATTTTAAAGTAATCACAGGTCATTAACACTTTGGATTTTCTTTTTTTTTAAAAGAGTTATTTATTTATTTGAAAGAGTTACACAGAGAAGGAGAGGCAGAGAGAGAGATAGAGAGAGAGATAGAGAGAGAGAGAGAGGTCTTCCATCTGATGTTTCACTTCCCAATTGGCTGCAACAGCCGGAGCTTCGATGATCTGAAGCCAGGAGCCAGGTGCTTCTTCCGGGTCTCCCATGCGGGTGCAGGGCCCAAGGACTTGGGCCATCTTCTGCTGCTTTCCCAGGCCATAGCTGAGAGCTGGATCGGAAGTGCAGCAGCTGGGTCTCCAATCAGCGCCCATATGGGATGCTGGTGCTTCAGGCCAGGGCTTTTACCTGCTGTGCCACAGCGCTGGTCATGAATTTTCTCTAATGTTATTTTTCTTTTCCTCACAGTTTCTTATACTTTTTACTTTTTTGTACCTAAAAATTTACTTAGGACCTCAATAATTGTTAAAGTGAGTTATATCTATTGACTAGAAATGAAAATGGAGAAAATGCTAAAATATTTATTTTGACTAGGAGTAATAAAACCAATATGCTTACATAAATAATATATTTTCACAAAAAATTGTATTTTGAAAGCAGAAATAGTAGTGAGAAAACTAAGCTTTCTTCTTTTTCTTTCTTCTCTCTTTCCCTCTTTCCTCCCTTCCTCCTTCTCTCTTTCTCTTCCTTCTTTCCTTTCTCTCTCTCTCTCTCTCTCTCTCTTAATTTCCTTATTGTATGGCTTTATAGAAAGCAGCTATATTTTCATATCTGCTTCTGCATTCAGTTTTGTCACTTTTTTGGGTGCAGTATATGAATAAAATTCTGTCAAACCAACATGTAATTGGAAAATGCAAATATTTCAATAGCCTTTCTTAAGCAATTATGGATATTCTTTGACAATATACCAAAACTTAATATGGGGATAGTTTCTTGAAATTTCATTGCAAGACATCCACTCTCAGAACGTTGATAGAAAATCACTTTTCCTTATTCTTTCTACAAAGTGTGACTAAAAACCCTGGACATTACACACTTGTGAACACTCTACAGGTAAAGAGAAAGAGGCATTCTAGCTGGGAAGAATGAGATGAGATGGTAGTGAGTAAACTTCCTAGTTTATCTATTTTGCTCCATGTATCTTAGACTTGTTTAGAGACAATCTGGTAATACAGAAACACCAACAAGTAAAGACAATAAATAAATGAATAGAAAATAAAAAATGAAGGCTGGCACTGCGGCTCACTAGGCTAATCCTCTGCCTAGCGGCGCCGGCACACCGGGTTCTAGTCCCGGTCAGAGTGCCGGATTCTGTCCCGGTTGCCCCTCTTCCAGGCCAGCCCTCTGCTGTGGCCAGGGAGTGCAGTGGAGGATGGCCCAAGTGCTTGGGCCCTGCACCCCATGGGAGACCAGGAAAAGCACCTGGTTCCTGGCTCCTGCCATCGGATCAGCGCGGTGCGCTGCCGCGGCGGCCATTGGAGGGTGAACCAACGGCAAAGGAAGACCTTTCTCTCTGTCTCTCTCTCTCACTGTCCACTCTGCCTGTCAAAAAAAAAAAAAAAAAAAAAAAAAAAGAAAAGAAAAAAAGAAAAGAAAAAATGAAGAAAAGCCCCAACAGAAAGCTTGATGTTTCTAGCCAAAGAAAAACAGAATTTTAAAAGACAAATATAAGTTGTCTACTCTAGACAAACACTAGGGGAAAAAAACTAAATCCAACCACAGCAAAAAGCTGTGGCTCCATCCCTGCCTCTACCAACAAAAGCCTAGTGGGAGGGCTAGACCACCACACCTGCTGGATCATCACGAGGTACTCCAACACTGTTGCCAGGGTAGTGACATAGAAGATGCAGTCTGGAGTTGGGAATTTGATCTTGATAGAATGGTAATAAGGCTTCTCCACCTGTCAGTTGAGACCTATGGGGATGCGGGTTTCCACCTCCACCCCCATCTAGTAGTAATGAGCCACTTCTTCCCTTCTCACTGGAGGAGAGGTAGTTTGGTGGAGGGTTACGTAAACAGGAGTTTATTTTGTTTTATTTTATTTTTAGGTTTTATTTATTTGAAAGGAGAGTTTCACAGAGAGGGGAAGACACACACACACACACACACACACACATACATCTTCCATGTGCTGGTTCACTCCCCAAAGGGCTGCAATAACCAGAGCTGGGCCAGGCCAAACTGGGAGCCAAGAGCTTCTTCCAGGTCTCCCACATGAGTGCAGGGGCCCAAACACATGAAGCCATATTCTGCTGCTTTCCTAGACACATTGGGAGGGAGCTGGATTGGAAGTGGAGCAGCTGGGACTTGAACTCATATGGGACGCTGGTCTTACAGGTGGTGGCTTAATATGCAACGCCATGGTGCTGGCCCCAAGAGTTTTTAAATAAGATCCAGATTCTCATAGAATACCCCAAATACCTAGATTTCAATTGGAAATCACTGCTTCTATCAAGAGTTAGGAAAAATCACACTGAATTAGAGAAACAGTCAATTGGTAACAACAGTGAGATGATACGTAGTAAAATTATCAGACAATGATTTCAAATCTGCCATCATAAAAATGTTTCAGTGAATAATTGTGAATAACTTGAAACAAATTTCACAAATGGTTCAGAAAGGAAGTAGAAAAAATGGCAGCAAAGAAATAGAAGATACAGAGAAGACACATGGAAATTTCAGGTGTGAAATTTTAACTCAAATAAAAAAAATTAGTGGAGGGACTGAAAAGTAGAATCAGTGAAAGAACTAGTTAACTCAATTAGGGAAGAATTAATGAGATGAAGATGGAACAATAAAATTCACCCAATCTGAACAACAAAGAGAAAACAGACTGAAAATTTCAGAATATTAACAGAGCCTCTGGGATCTACAGGAACATGGCAAAAGATCTAACATTTGAGTTACCACAATTCCAGGTGGAGAAGAAAAAGAAGGCAAAAACATTTTTTTTTTTTTGACAGGCAGAGTGGACAAGAGAGAGGGACAGAGAGAAAGGTCTTCCTTTGCCGTTGGTTCACCCTCCAATGGCCACCACGGCCTGCGCGCTGCGGCCGGCGCACCGCGCTGATCCGATGGCAGGAGCCAGGTACTTATCCCGGTCTCCCATGGGGTGCAGGGCCCAAGCACTTGGGCCATCCTCCACTGCACTCCCTGGCCACAGCAGAGAGCTGGCCTGGAAGAGGGGCAACCGGGACAGAATCTGGCGCCCCGACCGGGACTAGAACTGGGTGTGCTGGCGCCGCAAGGTGGAGGATTAGCCTAGTGAGCCGTGGCGCCGGCTAAAGGCAAAAATATTGAAGGAAATAATGGCTAACCAGTTCACCAGTTGAGGAAAAGATACGAACCTACAGATTCAGGAATCTATGCAAACCCTAAACAGGGAAAATCCAAAGAAATCTTCACCAAGCCATATAATAGTCAAATTTCTGAAGACTAAAGATGAAAGCTTAAAGGCAACTAAAGAAAAGCGACATGTAACCTATAGGTGAAAAACAATTTAAATGGAAAGGAATTTCTCATCAGAAACTGGACACCAGAATTAAGTGGTAGAACTTTCATTTTTAAAGTTATATAAAGGAGCTGTGAACCCAGAATCCTATATGAAGAGAAGTATCCTTTGAGAATGAAGGGGAACGAAGATATTCTCAGATGAAAGGGAACTAAGAGAATTTGTTGCCAGTAGACTTAGGCTAAAAGAACATCTTGGGGGGCTGGCTCCGTGGCGCAGTAGGTTAATCCTCTGCCTGAAGCGCTGGCATCCCATATGGGCGCCGGGTTCTAGTCCCAGCTGCTCCTCTTCCAGTCCAGCTCTCTGCTGTGGCCTAGGAAAGCAGTATAAGATGGCCCACGTCCTTGGGCCCCTGCACCCATGTGGGAGGCCGGGAAGAAGCACCTGGCTCATGGCTTCAGATCAGTACAGCACTGGCCGTTGCGGCCATCTGGGGAGTGAACCAGCAGATGGAAGGCCTTTCTCTCTGTCTCTCCCTCTTACTGTCTGTAGCTCTACCTCTCAAATAAATAAATAAAATCTTTTTTTTTTTAAAGAACATCTAGGGTTAGGATGGGCATTTGGTACAGTAGCTGAGATGTTACTTGGGATGTCTACATCCCATATGAGAGAAGCTGGATTCTACTTCCAATTCCAGCTTCCTGCTAATGGACACTCTGGGAGATAGCAGAAGATGGCTTAAGTGCTTGCCTCTTTGCCATCTCTGCGGGAGACCTGGCTTGAGTTCCAGGTTCCTGATTTTGGCCTAACCCAATTCTGGCTGTTACAGGCACTTGGGGAATGAACCAGGAGATGGAAGATCTCTCTTTTTCTCTCTCTCTGATTTTCAAGTAAAATGAAAATAGATAAATAAAAACATTAAAAATGGGTATGGAAAGTAAATAGAAAAAATAATAAATAAGAGAAATATCTTAAAGGAACAAAGAACATTGAAGGTAAAAATATGAATAGGGGCTGGCACCGTGGCTCACTTGGTTAATCCTCCGCCTGTGGCGCCAGCATCCCATATGGGCGCCAGGTTCTAGTCCCAGTTGCTCCTCTTCCAGTCCAGCTCTCTGCTGTGGCCCAGGAAGGCAGTGGAGGATGGCCCAAGTGCTTGGGCCCTGCACCCACATGGGAGACCAGGAGG